GAATTCGGTAATGATTCGATGGAGAATTCGTTGTCCCATCGAATTCAGATTAATCGGCTTCGCTGGTTAGGACACGTTTTGAGCATGCCCAGCTATCGTCTATCGTGCCGTATCCGCAGTTGGGGCTCCAGATTAGAAGAAACCACGAAGTCAACAGATGATGTGGAAACGAGGCATGAAGGAATGCATAGAGCGATTAGGTAGAATCAGTGTCTCCCGTCTTCCAGGTTGGGGTCCGAAAGACAGCAATTGGCTGGTTGGCGACATCGCGGGATATAGCAACCTACCGAGAGCAGTAGCGTTCCTTTTGTCATTTCTTTACAGGTCAGAATGCTTGAAAAGCTATGTATGTACAGTGAGGTTGTGCACTCTGTGTTGACCAAAGAGATTCACTTACTTTTCGACCAATTCTTCTCCATCTTGTACTTCATCACTTAAGTTGTGTACATTGCAAGCTTGGAAGCAAAAGTGAAGTTTGCTTCACTGTATCCCACTGTACGATGGCTGTTAAACTATCATATGGAAGATCTGAGTATAATCGGACAACTGAGAATGTGGATAACTGGATCCCCTATTTAACGGGCATTTAACAACGAGACCGTATTTCCAAGGCAGAAGCTGTCCAAAACAGAATACCTCGAGGATCAGTACTGACACCTCGACTGTTCCCATTATGACAACGGTACAGCACTATCTGCAAAAACGTTGCATTTTGTACGCCCAAGATAGTAAGGTACCCGGACGGGGTGACAATGGAGTAGTTAACAGCCAAGCAGTAGGTTCTAGCACTGAAATTTTCCACATGTCAGTTACTGGCTACCAGAACTGATGAGAAAAGTAGGAGTTGGTCAATACAGGAGACGTGAGAGGTAAAAGATCTGTGGTCAATATCGTCCGTTCACGCTTAAAATGCTGAGCAGGATCACGCTCCATAGCATGGGAAGCATGCGGTATGGTTGGAATGAGTCCACCGGTTATCCACAAAGATAACAGGTGGACAGTGAAGAAAGATCTATGCACGACTCAGGGGTCTGAATGTTTTCTCGACAAAAACGAGATGGAGTGGAAACCTAATAAAAATCTAATATAAATCATGTGCCAAATCCGACGAGATGTTCTTGTTGTACTCAAATGTCAGCAGAGGTATTAAAATTGCAGAAGAGCAACACCTCGAGCTTCGAGTTAAGACAATGCATCTTACCAAAAGGGTGATTTCCATGCGAAAGCGACTGGCCCACGAAGTGAACTGTAATAATCAGCATTTTACAAAAGACTTGAAGAATAATGGGCATTAATGTTTCCGGAAGTAAGCGTTAAGTATTCTAACAGATATAAACCCGACCTCAAAGGACGTTCAGCTGAACCATGAAATATGAAGGGACAAGGATAACCGCTGTGACTTCATCTAACTCATCGGTGCAGCAGGAATTTGTTAGAAACATACCCGATTCATCAGGCTGATGCCAACGATCTCCCAAAAAATTGAATAAGAAGCATCTCCAACGGAACCGATGTATGAAAGGACGGGAATGCAAACGGGGGTAGGAATACAGATGTATCGCGGTGGTTCTTATCCCGGTGTTGATAACGTACTTCTCACATAGTTTACCTATGTTCAATGTTCGTCCAGGAGAGGCAAAGGGAAACCTCCCGTATAACCCTCATCGCCACTGACTCAAGGTGTACATTCGTGTCTGAGCGGCATAACACTTTTCACGAGGAACGCAGTCCAGTTTTCTACTGAACAAGCTGTAATTAATCTCATCCACCACATTAAGCTTCTGTCCCATATGAGCTCTGCCAATCAGCATTTAAGGATGGAGGTTCAGTGCTGGTCTTGGAGTTGGGGTTGGTATGAGAGCGAATCGGTTCCAACTGAATGGTGTGAATCGGTTGTCTTACCGATTCACAAGAAGGGTGACAGATCCTCTTGTGAAAACCACATAGGAGGTAGTTTGATCAAAATTGTCTCCAAAATTTTTGCGGGCATGATACTTCATTGATTGTTGGCCGAACGTGAACAGTGCACGCGTGAGAATGAAGCTGGTTTTAGACCTAGTCGAGACTTTATCGACCACCTATTCACTCTTAGCCAAATTCTAGCACACAGACATTCCTTCCTTAGACCCACCGTCTCTGTCTTCCTCAATCTAAAAGTGGCCTTAGACCCAGTCGACTGCTCTAAACTCTGGCGCTACCTTTCTCTGAAGGGTGCACCTGAGAAGTTTATTTCAAGTTTACGACTCCTTTATGCTAACAGCCGAATCCGAGCTTACGGCACTTTTTCGCCCGAGTTTACCACGGAGTGGTGTTCGTCAAGGTTGTCCTCTATCGTGTTTTCTGTGTAACTTTATTATAGATTTCATTGTGAAAACAGCCCTATCCTCGTGCGATTTGCTCCCAGATGGCCGACTGTCTGATCTGGAGTATGCAGACGACATTGTGCTGCTAAGTGAAGATCTAGGTAAGTTGCAAGTTTTTTTGAATAGCTTGAGTGTCAGTGTAGCGATGTTCTGAATACGTTTTGCACCTTCGAAGTGTGAAATGTTGCTACGAGACTGGGTTGGTCCAGCACCCAGCCTCACTCTAGCTGGGGAAGTACTAGACC